ATATTATTTTTTTCAAGAAACCGTGTAACACACGGGTATTACACCTAGTATATTATATAAAAAAAAATCATTTGGTGCGCATGATAGCCTCACCCGCTAACAAGACGGAGGTCAATCGAACATTTGCCGGCTCTCACTTTTTCCACCCTTTTTCTCTTTATTTCTAAAACCAACGTTGTCCCGCCTCCCCCACACACACTACACAGACAGAGTTTTCGAAACCCTAGGAACCCAGAAACAAAGGGGATAAATAAAAGTAATCGGAGAAGAAGAAGAAGAAGCAAAAGATATGCCTCGTGAAATCATAACACTGCAAGTAGGACAATGCGGGAACCAGATCGGAATGGAGTTCTGGAAGCAGCTTTGTTTGGAACACGGTATCTCCAAGGACGGCATACTTGAAGATTTCGCTACTCAGGTCACTACTTTAACTGTATCTTTGGTTATGCTTGGTGGTTTAATCAGTCTCATTTGACTCTACCTTAAGTTAGTGCGTATTATGTTGAGCAAATGTCATTTAAAAGAGCGATCCCGGTGGACCATTCGTGGAAGATGGTTTCTCTTTCCCTTGCATTTCGCGAAGCGGTTTTTCTATGCAAATTGAGCCCTCGGAATTTGTGCGAGTGTCATTGTACTAGAAAATTAAGTGAAATTGAGCCCTCGGAATCTTGCATCCATCCGTCTTTGAGTTCATTCGCATTTCATCGCATTAACTGAGAAATTAATCAGTTGTCTCATATTCGCATTTCAGTTGTTTGAGAAACCCAGATACGAACCCAAATGCGAAACCCACTAATTTCAAATGCGAACCAACCAAAAATCATCAACCACGTACTTGTGTCACCAAATGCGAACTGAATATCACCATTAAATTCTCCTCGCATTCTATAGATGCGAACACAATCCAGATCTCCGACTCCAAGCTTGCGAAATCAAAATCAATTAACCTCAAACAAATCGTGAACTTCTTATGCGAACTGTTTTGACCCACAAAACCAAATGCGAACTCAATTCTTGTCATATGCGAACTGATTTCATAGATGCGAACACAATTGATTTCATATGCGAATCCACATCCATCGATATGAAACCAATACCAGTTACAAGCAATTAGTAGCAACCATCGATCCTCTAATTTTCAATTACTCAGCCTTCGCTTTTCATACAACCCGTCGACCCTGAAAAATCGATAAACACCAAATGTCTCATTTTTAGATCGATTTTCTGATTAAATGTCATATTTGAAGAATGATCGATTTTCTGATTAAATGACCCCATTTTGCGAAGTTGGACCACTTATATTATGTCTTGAAAAGATCAGGTGCCAAATGCGAAACTCTAAGCTTTCTTCCCCAATTCGCATTTATACATTAAAAACTTTGCATTTTCATTCAAATTCTTCGCATCTTGCATCCATCCATCTTTGAGTTCATTCGCATTTCATCGCATTAACTGAGAAATTAATCAGTTGTCTCATATTTGCATTTCAGTTGTTTGAGAAACCCAGATACGAACCCAAATGCGAAACCCACTAATTTCAAATGCGAACCAACCAAAAATCATCAACCACGTACTTGTGTCACCAAATGCGAACTGAATATCACCATTAAATTCTCCTCGCATTCTATAGATGCGAACACAATCCAGATCTCCGACTCCAAGCTTGCGAAATCAAAATCAATTAACCTCAAACAAATCGTGAACTTCTTATGCGAACTGTTTTGACCCACAAAACCAAATGCGAACTCAATTCTTGTCATATGCGAACTGATTTCATAGATGCGAACACAATTGATTTCATATGCGAATCCACATCCATCGATATGAAACCAATACCAGTTACAAGCAATTAGTAGCAACCATCGATCCTCTAATTTTCAATTACTCAGCCTTCGCTTTTCATACAACCCGTCGACCCTGAAAAATCGATAAACACCAAATGTCTCATTTTTAGATCGATTTTCTGATTAAATGTCATATTTGAAGAATGATCGATTTTCTGATTAAATGACCCCATTTTGCGAAGTTGGACCACTTATATTATTTCTTGAAAAGATCAGGTGCCAAATGCGAAACTCTAAGCTTTCTTCCCCAATTCGCATTTATACATTAAAAACTTCGCATTTTCATTCAAATTCTTCGCGTCTTGCATCCATCCGTCTTTGAGTTCATTCGCATTTCATCGCATTAACTGAGAAATTAATCAGTTGTCTCATATTCGCATTTCAGTTGTTTGAGAAACCCAGATACGAACCCAAATGCGAAACCCACTAATTTCAAATGCGAACCAACCAAAAATCATCAACCACGTACTTGTGTCACCAAATGCGAACTGAATATCACCATTAAATTCTCCTCGCATTCTATAGATGCGAACACAATCCAGATCTCCGACTCCAAGCTTGCGAAATCAAAATCAATTAACCTCAAACAAATCATGAACTTCTTATGCGAACTGTTTTGACCCACAAAACCAAATGCGAACTCAATTGTTGTCATATGCGAACTGATTTCATAGATGCGAACACAATTGATTTCATATGCGAATCCACATCCATCGATATGAAACCAATACCAGTTACAAGCAATTAGTAGCAACCATCGATCCTCTAATGAGGAAACAGTTTCCTATTCGATTGTGCTTTGCAATGACAATCAATAAAGCTCAGGGACAAACAATTCCATATGTAGGTATCTATCTTCCAGAATTTAGGCTTATTATTGTTTTTAGGGATTATACTGTTCCTTGATGCAATTACTTAAGGTTGGTTTTTTCATGCATTACAGAGGTTTGTATATTTGTTTGTTTTATTTTTTTCTTATTAAAGCATCGCACTTTCAATGTATAATGCATAGACATCTAATGTTGTATTCAAAGAAGTATTTGGAAATTTTGTGATTTTGTAAAAATTATTTAATTAGAACATTTCATTAATGATTTCTTTTTGGTATTTTGAGTTCAATTACACACTTATTCAATAAACTTTTCACTTATATGTGTTGTATTATTTTAATAATTCGTTGATGTTCGAAATTTTATATTATTTTTTTTCAAGAAACCCGTGTAACACACGGGTATTACACCTAGTATATTATATAAAAAAAAATCATTTGGTGCGCATGATAGCCTCACCCGCTAACAAGACGGAGGTCAATCGAACGTTTGCCGGCTCTCACTTTTTCCACCCTTTTTCTCTTTATTTCTAAAACCAACGTTGTCCCGCCTCCCCCACACACACTACACAGACAGAGTTTCGAAACCCTATGAACCCAGAAACAAAGGGGATAAATAAAAGTAATCGGAGAAGAAGAAGAAGAAGCAAAAGATATGCCTCGTGAAATCATAACACTGCAAGTAGGACAATGCGGGAACCAGATCGGAATGGAGTTCTGGAAGCAGCTTTGTTTGGAACACGGTATCTCCAAGGACGGCATACTTGAAGATTTCGCTACTCAGGTCACTACTTTAACTGTATCTTTGGTTATGCTTGGTGGTTTAATCAGTCTCATTTGACTCTACCTTAAGTTAGTGCGTATTATGTTGAGCAAATGTCATTTAAAAGAGCGATCCCGGTGGACCATTCGTGGAAGATGGTTCTCTTTCCCTTGCATTTCACGAAGCGGTTGTTTCTATGGAAATTGAGCCCTCGGAATTTGTGCGAGTGTCATTGTACTAGAAAATTAAGTGAAATTGAGCCCTCGGAATCTTGCATCCATCCGTCTTTGAGTTCATTCGCATTTCATCGCATTAACTGAGAAATTAATCAGTTGTCTCATATTCGCATTTCAGTTGTTTGAGAAACCCAGATACGAACCCAAATGCGAAACCCACTAATTTCAAATGCGAACCAACCAAAAATCATCAACCACGTACTTGTGTCACCAAATGCGAACTGAATATCACCATTAAATTCTCCTCGCATTCTATAGATGCGAACACAATCCAGATCTCCGACTCCAAGCTTGCGAAATCAAAATCAATTAACCTCAAACAAATCGTGAACTTCTTATGCGAACTGTTTTGACCCACAAAACCAAATGCGAACTCAATTGTTGTCATATGCGAACTGATTTCATAGATGCGAACACAATTGATTTCATATGCGAATCCACATCCATCGATATGAAACCAATACCAGTTACAAGCAATTAGTAGCAACCATCGATCCTCTGATAGTGAACGCTTTGGAATTGGAATCGAAAGAGATTTGGGTTTTGGGTGTGATCAGCTTTGAAGAATACGTTTGGACTTTAGGCAGAAGGGAGTCGTTGAAATTGGGTATATACCGGTATATAAGAAAGAATCTTTATCAATTAGAGATATACATGGAATTGATAATATTTTTTCAACTAATATGAGATATCCCGATTTTTAGGCGTAGGTATTTTTCCTTTTTTTTTTTTATTGGAAGCGTGATTATGTTAAAGTTAATCTAGACTAAGGTTATTATGGTAATTATATTAGAATTCTTGAAAATATGGCACTTATAATTAGTTGGTAGATAAAGTTTGTTAATTAGTAGCTATGGCAGTTATCTCAACTGCCAAATATTGAACGGGTACAATAGTTCTTCAAGAATTGCAATGTTTCATGTTGTGTCTATAAATATGTGTATGTTAAGAAAATCTTTTTGCACACACACCTTTATTGTAGAAAATTTCAGCAATTTTTTTATGTTTCTTAACTCCAACAGATTATAGTAACTATTTTATTTAGATCTAGAGCTGTTGAAAATGGAAATGGCTACGGATCAAAGTCGACATATACTATGAGTATGTTAAGAGAATGCAAGAACAGTGTAGTAAACACTAGTAGTATTTCGGTGGTGGTGGATGTGTTGGTGGCGGTGGTGGTGACGGTGGTCGCAGTGGTGGTGAATTTGAACAGTGATGGTAAAGTCTACAACAAAAAACATTTTAAGGATCATATAAATCTAAAAAATTAATTATACTTATAAATATAAACTTATACTTAAATTCACATCAAATACCATGTTGATAATACGATAACATGTGAATTCAGACTCCAACTTAAAAACCCACAAGTGAATTACACTACAACTTCAAAACATCGCAAAAAAAAAAAAAAAAAGGAATTCGACATTACCAGAACTTGAAACCTTAAAATTCATGAATCCGAGATACAAAAACAGAGTAAAAGATGAAGGCCTTCCATCAAAGTTAGATTAAGATCTAGAGTCCCTCAAAGTATCTCATATGATCTTCAAATGTCTCCCCATGCCTAATTTTCGCCACAGATCCATCTTCATCAACCTTCATTAACAACATTCACAAAAAATCAATTCATGTTGACTTTCAATAGTCAAATTGTGCATTGTTCAAATCCAAAATTCTCATCTTTATCCCTTCCTTCCATCAAACAAATAGATGCAAACTCTAGGTGAAAAATAAACAATTACAAATTAAAATATGGTGTTTGACTTGAAAAGTCAAAGATGAAAAAACATACCCAATACTCAGGTGGACGCATCTTGAGGTTGTAAGTTGATGCCATGCTCATGCAGTATGCACCTGCATCATGAACTACAAGCCCAGAACCCTGTAAACATCAAATTCTCATCATTAATCATTATTATACAGAAAATCAAAATGCTAAAAAAAAAATTATATTAATAAAGAACAACGGAGGTAGAATGTACACTGGCAGGAGAAGGAAGGTCCCTGTCCTTCCCCAAGAAATCAGCTGACTCGCAAACGGGGCCCACCACATCAAAGGTTGAAATCGCAGAATCAGGTGATGGAGGTGAAACCAATTCTATGTGCTACATTTATATTAAATTTAAAACGAAAATCAATATTCTAAAAAACGTTAAGCACTTAATATATTTTTTTTTTTTTTAATGGAACTGGACAAGTTGATTTAATGGATTAAGCCAAAAAAAGAAATGGCTTAATGCATTAAGACACCAACCATTTACGAATATTTCCTTATTATACAAATGAGAAAATCTTACTTGATAAGCATCATATAGACTAGGGCGAATAAGTTCAGCCATGCTTCCATCAATCACAATAAAGTTCTTTGTGCCATTTGTTTTCACACCCGTGACACGATTCACAAGACAACAAGTATTTGCAATTAGCGACCTCCCAGGTTCAATTATCAGATTAAGATTTCGCGACAAAACCAACTCCCTAACCTTAACCAAATCAAACATAAAAACAATATAAACGATTTCATATCAAATATATATATATATATATATATAATAATATATATATATATATATATGTAACGCTTACTGTGTCAATGAGATCCCTGGGTGTAGGAAGAACAGTACCAGTATGATAATAATCAATCCCAAGACCACCTCCGATATTTAAATAATTAATATCAAATCCTTGAGCTCGAATTTCGTCTATAAACTTCACCATAATTGATGCAGCATCTCTGAAAATGTCAACCTAAAAAAACGGTCAAAGTCAAACCATGGTCAGCACAAAAGGGTAGATGATAATATGATGTTTTACATTTACAATACCTTGGTGATGGTGGATCCAAGATGGCAATGAGCGCCAACTAGCTTAAGTTCATCGGGGTATGACTTCACAGCATCTAGAAACCATTGTAATTTCTCGTTTCTTATACCGAATTTGGAGTTTTTGTTTCCAGTTGCAACATAAGGATGGACCTATTTGAAATCGATTGTAGATATTGAGTTATTGGTGTTATAGAGATGAAAGATTTTTGAATTCGATGTGAGAAAGGGAATCACAAACCTGAGGGTCGACATCTGGATTGATTCTAAGCAATACATTAACCTTCTTCCCTGCGATTCTTGCAGCAGAAACAATGTTATCCAAATCGAATTCACTGTCAATGTTGACAAATACGCCTTCTTGAGCAGCAAGAACAAGATCATCCAAAAGCTTCCCGTTTCCATTAAAAATGCATCTATTATTCGCATCAAACCACACACAAATCGAATCAATTTTCGCCAAATAGTTATTACTAGTTCATGAAACTGAAAAATAAGTACCTGGTAGGATCAAAACCAGCACGAATGGCTAATCTGAGTTCATTTCCACTAACCAATACACCCCACAACCCAAATTCTTCAAATGTTGTAAAATCAAGAAGTTGTTATTGGCTTTAATTGCATATCCGATAATCGAATTCAGTCCCTCCAAAGCTTCCTTATAAGCCTCGACGTTTCTAGTTATCTGAGGTTTACTGTAGAGATAAAAGGGCCTTCTTTCAACGGCCTCCATGACTTCTTGAACTTTAAGACCCTCACAATACAAATAGCCATCGTCTTTCTTGGTGAAGCAATGTTGAAATTTCTGAGTTGCTGGAGGTTTTTGTGATATGACAGCTCGGATAGCGAGCGTTTTGGAACCGGGTTTATAAGAAATTAAGGTTTTGGGAGTGATCGGCTTTGAAGATTGATTTAGGGTTTTGGCGAAAGAGAGTGATTGAAATTGAAGGTGGGAAGAAGAGGCCGCCGCCGCCATTGGTGAGGGGAAAGTATGCAGTGTTTCCTCTCCAAATAGGAGCAAGGGTTTTACGAGTTAGGTTGCTTTAAAACGTTTGTACCATCTAATAATAACACGTGTTGTTGGTAACCCTTTGATTGTTTTCTAGTATTATTTTTCTTATGTGATATAAATAGTAATAAATTTTTGAAAGCCGAGAATTTTTGGGTTGAACATCAAGAAAACACAGATTTTTTAGCACTCCTTGATGGTAGGAAGTTTCGTGTCGATTTATTTCCAACGGATATAGGGAGACCTTTTTTAGGAGTGAAGCTCCTTGGGGACTGTTAGCAGAGACGCAGCGTTTATTAGCGGGTTGGCCATGAAGAGAACGGACAATGATGTTGATTTGATGGGCCTTCTTCCACAACTATGTGACCCACAGAGTGAGCTCATTTTGCTTCGATCATATATATGGGCATTGCAAAACTTTTCTTTGGTTTAAGGACATGTCATTCAGTACACATAGAAGAGGCAGCTTTGTTCTTTGACAAAGGATTGCGTAGGTCTGTCGAAGATATGATGGTATGTGGAGGCCCCTTCTTTGGAGACATTCACGGGCGTCTGGCTTCCTTACCTATTCGTTTCAGTGGTTTGGGTTTGTACTCGGCATATGAGGTTTCCTCCTATGCATTTGTAGCCGCGAGGGCCCAAACTTAGGCATTACAAGACCACATCTTACGTTACAGTGGCATATGTGGTATGGACTCAGATTACCTATGTGTTATGACTCGTCTTCGCGATACGATTTCGGGATTCGACTGTAGCAATTTCACTAATAAGGACACCCCCCCCCCCCCTAAATCCCAAAAAACATTGACGTGTACCCTTTTTAGCAAAATCGTCAAAGATGTGGAAGTCGAAGTCGACATGACTATTAGATAGAAACAGTATTTGAGTGTCTGCGGGCTTCTCATGCTCAGGTTTTTCTGTTAACTATCCATATTAATGGCCTTGGTCAATATATGTCTCCTGTGGAGTACCGAACTATCCTTCATTACCACATCATGATTCCTTTATTCCTCAATTGACAAGATATGTCCAGTTTGTCGCAAGGCATGCTTGGATACCTTTGGGGAACATACGGTTCATTGTAGAGAGCTCCCTGCTTTCAAGTATAGACATGATGTCATCAGGGATGTTCTCGTTGATGCTTGTCGGCATGCTGGTATTTCTGCGAAAAAAGAAGCGCCAATGAACTTTTTGACGAACTCGCAGGATGGAAGGTCCACACTTGATCGACTGACATTTTGGTCTTTGGATGGGTAGGAGGGAAGCACGTGTGTGTGGATCCTTACTGGGGTCTCTCCTCTCGTTGGTTTGAGGAGCGGGGGGTTTCACAGACAGGGCATGCCACTTTGAAAGTCGTTGTGTGCAAAGTGGCAAAGCACGAAAACCATGTATAGAAATCTGTAACACTCTAAAATTTCAAGCCAATTTAAACTTTTCAAAAACATCCCAATTTCATTAAGTTATTACAAAAAGGTTTTCAATACATTTATTATCAGAGTATGCCCAGATCCATAACATAAAACATAAACATGAGGAGCGGTATGATCACGCCTTCGCCTTGCCACGGTCTCCGGAAATACCTGAAAAAAATTAAACCACAACTGTAAGCCCGAAAGCTTAGTGAGATACCCCTAAAATACCAACCACAT